TATTTATATATCTATACAGTAATCAGATAACGACTTCTGATTAAGAAAGAATATCGGTAACTTTTTGCGTTGTAAGTTTTTTAAAAGACAAGCATAAAAACCTCAGAAACTTGTTGTCCGTTATGTTGAAGCTTGATTTGTGGACTATCTGAAAGATAAGATCTAGTAATGACAATATTAAAGTTTCTAGAGTGTACGTCAAAAAGATCTTGGTGCGTTGTAGAAAGATTACTGCAAAGGCCAAAAGCACGAAGATGATAGTGACTTATGGACGAAAGAGGATTTACTTGACATCTTGCGCGGACGACGTCGTTCCCACATCATCCTTCTCTGAGAGACAGGCAAATTTTCAATCGACTCTTCTTTGACCTTGTCCCTTGAAGACACAGTGTGGTTTCCCACTGTTTCTTCAGTCTTTGCTGCAGGAGAATGGAGTTCCTCGGAGTAGTTCTGGCTACGTTCTTGCTTTTCTCCCTTAGGAACAGAATGAGAATTGTCTTGGTGAGGCTAAAATACACGGTGAAAAAGTAGTAATTCAACTTCACAGAAAACTTGAAAAGCTCATTCTTTGTGCTGTGAATGCTGTTCGCCAGTACCGATAGCTTACAGTGAACATAGAAGTGAGGTTTGCCACTGAAGATCGGTGCGTAGTTGATGGTTTCGTAATGTGAGGCTAAAAAATTTGCTTATTATACGTTTGTAGCGGTAGCGTAGCTTGTTGATTTCTGAGAGAGAGAACTAATTACAGACTTTTTCTTGAATCATATAGTCTAATTCTTTATCACGATCTACGGGCGACATCGGGTGGGGTCCATCTGGTGAATACGCATTGCCCCAAATTTTTACAAACTGTCGAACATTTTTGACTACTCTGAGAGACTGGAACTGGTCTTTGCTTGTGAAAATTGGTGATTTCTTGAGGGGGGATTTTCTGGCAGCGGAATTGTCCCCTTGGTTTGGAGACGTTTCTACTAAAAAGAAATGATTTTTGAAAATTGAAAATAAAATTTTTTTCATACATTTCGAAGGTTCTAAAAGAGAATGAACTCTACATTTCGGAACAGATCCTTTTTCAGGTGCTTCGCTTGATGTATAGCTCCGTGCCGCTGGGGTGACTGCGGCTTTTGAATAAGGGACCTCAATTAGCTGTCACTTAATCTTGCTTTTTTCACTCATTTCTTAATTTTAGGTAAGTTTTGGGACAGAATCACAAAGTATTATTTGGAAGTTACTTGGTTTTTAAGTTGCTTTGCAACTTCCTTCCTCGGTGAAGGTTTTTTTCGTCCCCCAAACATGTTCAGTAATTCACCAACTGGTTTTTGCTCTTCCACTTCAACGTTAGGCTGAAAAAGCTCACTACATACTTTATTTTTTACATCTTATTACTTATTCTTTTACAAACTGCCAAGAGGCTGAGATACAAAGGGGGTAGTAGTTTAAGGCAATCTTCGTTTACCACAAAACGTTGTTCTTTCACAGATTCCACGTATTCTACTTTCTGCCCCACGTTTTGCTCTTCCCTACGCTCGCTTTGAATGTACGAAGGGCGTGACTCGAGTCTCTCTTCCTCTGCCTAACGTAAAAACTATACATAGCTAGTAAAGAACAAAAGTAAAAATTGTTTGAGCTGGAGAGAGGGAAAAGATTTTAATAAACTCGATTTCGAGAACTCATTGGACTGAAGGGACTAACTAACATAGAGGTCATCGTATCGCACAGGAGGGTGTTCAGTTTTAGGTGGCGAAGGTGAACTTTTTTTTGACTCAAAAATGCTTTTCAGATTACGAACTCCTGGGGCGGCAGATATCGCTTTATCTGCACTGGAATGATCAAAGGTATCTGCAAAAAGTGTACTTAAGAAACAACTTTGTGGGCATTGTCTACTTCACTTTCCATTCTTATGAGGGGAAGTAATTGTACAAACCGATTGGCACACTAACATGGCTGTCTTTAAACTTTATGTGGGCTTCACTTTTGTCTTCGCTCTCTTCAGCCTCTGGGACCTAAATATCATCAGTCATTTCTAGGTTCATTTCTACATAATGCATTTATCCTTAGGCAAACGTCTAAGAGTTTTAGAGTATCAGAATTAATAGCTTTTTCAGCAAATTTCTCAAAAATTTAGCACCTGTTGTTGGTCACTGGCGTATGGAGTTGAAAAATTGTCAATAAATTTTAAAATTAGAGACCCAAATAAACTTAGTCGCTTTATACTTAAATTTTCCGTACTCAAGGAATTGATCTTTTTATAATATGTTGAAAGTACGTTACGGGGTAATTAGAAGTGCGTTTCAAAATAACATTGTTATCGTAAAAATCTGGTTCCTGCCGTTCTTCTTGATTCCAGCGATTTTCCGAGTCCATTGGCAGTTCTGAGAAAAGCACTTGCTTTTGCTCTGAAACGACACTAATTTTTTTTCTTTATTTTTATCGAACGACTGTATAATGGTGTAAAAATGGCTGTTAAGTTATCATTCGTAGCTATTTTGGTTTGGTTTTTCGCTGTTTTTAGACGATTTTGTGTGTGTTAAATGTCTTAAGTATGGTATTTTGCATTAACCGTTGAGCGGAACCTACCGCCAGTATCTGTGCCTTCGCTCTTCTCAGTTTCACTAGTGTGGACTCCTGATGACTGAAGGCCAGCTTGTTGATCAAAATTTTCCATATCGTGATCGTAGTCGCTCGAAGCCACTTCAATGTCAAAATTGGGTTCAGAAATTGTTTCTTCCATTACTTCTTCTGCCTGAACAAAATTTTGAGTAACTGCCTGCAGATTTTTTTTGTGGTCACAGTTGAAATTCATTATTTAAATGTTTGATTAGTTAAGATTCTAACCCGTTTTCGATCGTAGTCAAGAAAGGCTTCAGCTTTTTGCTCTTGTTTCGGCGGTTCTGTTTCTTCCATCTGGAAAGGACTTTCTGCTTCGGCTTCGAAATTGTATTGCACCTAAAGCAGTTGCCCTAACATTAGCCTACGTGTTGGAGCAGATGTGCAACCAGATGATTGGAGGCGGCTCTTCTTTGTCAATACACGAAGCAGTGAAATATGGGAACGAGGACAAAGTAAAGTTACTTCAGCTGTGGCAACTAAATCTTACTCTGCTTCCGACAGTTTGAGAAGAGCTAGCTCCAAATACTTGGTCCATCTGAAATAAAAAAACATCTTTCAACTTTTTAAAATCAAAATTTTTGGTTTTTATTATTTCTGTGTTTTTACTTGGATTGTTTGCTAAATGCACTCGTTTTGAATAGTAGTATTCATAAAAGACGTTATTTTACATTTACGGTTTTCACTTTCAATTTTTCTTATACCCATTTCAATTGCTTTCAACTTTATGGCTTTTTTTGCTCGACTACGTTTAGGAAAGAAAGTTTACTGAAGTTTTTGGTTTTTTATAATGTGATCTCTGAAAACAATACAATCTGATTCTTACGTCAACATCTTCTTCCACGTACTGACTTGGCTCTTCTTCATCCTTAAAAAAGCTGTAATAATATTGGACTGCTTAAACCGTCAATTACATACTGGTAACTTACATTTTCACTGTGCTTCCTACTTTTTCCATCTGGTCAAAATTTTTAACGGATTGCTCTAATGGAAACTGTGATTTCTTCACGTTTACCTCTGAACTCTTCTGCTCGTTGGTATCTAATTGTTTTTGTTCCATTTCGACAAATGACTGCTCGTTCTCAGGATTTCTGGAAGGGGCGATTTTGTCCGTCTTCTTCGTTTTTTCTTCATCATACTCTCCTTCTTCTTCATCTTTTTCCACCTTAATCATCTCTCATCAAAGTGAGCAAGCAATGCTTATTCAATGTATTAATTAAGATCCAATTGTAACGCAAAAAAATAGATAAATGAAAATTTCTGCGAAATCATTGTTTTCACATCTGATTCATCGTGGCGGCTTGAATCTTCAACTTCGCTGCTGGACTCTGATTTCAAGGACTCTCTTGATTCTCCTTTTGAAGACTCTTTTTCCAGCTCTTCGTCTTCGCCTCTCACGTTTTTCCGCCTTTCATCTTCATCTGCAATTTCGAATTGTTTTAGTAATCCAACAGTCATATATCAACGTTGCTTTGAATGCAAGGCGTTTTAGAAATATATGAATAATAATCGCAAAAGAACCTTCGGATGACTGGCTTTCATCTTCATCGCTTTTTTCGGTCTGAGTAATTGCTTTTCCTTTGACCTCAGGTAAGTGGATCTCAGCTCCAAAAACTTCGTCTAGCAAGTCTCAAAATATTTAACACGCTGAAGGATTTTTATACAGGTTTTAGTCAAACAAACTTTTTAAATTAATACCTCTTGCGAAATGAGTTTGCTAAGTGTAAAATATAATAACCTTCTTTTTATTAAATGTTTGCTCGCTTAGAAAAATTATTTGTGTAATGTGGGTGTGATAGACTTTTACTTTCACCTTACTTTCACCCACAACTATAATTTATTGACCAGTGTTGGTACCAATAGCTCTGCAAACTTTTTAATGCTTATTAATCACTAGTTATTTTATTGGTAGCAGTAGTAGACATGATTTACCATGTTGTTCTAAGCTTTCATTAGTGTTACTTCCGTCGACCGACATTGTAAGCTCTGCAAGGAATGAGTTAAAAAACAGTGAAAAGACGGAAATGTTGTGTCTGAGGCGTAAGATGAATCTGAGAAACGAAATAGTATTGGTGAAAATTGTTTGCTTTCTTTTAGTCTAAAATAAATGTTACAGTGATTGAGAAAATTTTGTGGTACGGAAGAACAAGAACTAATTTGGCGCACTAAATGGAAATGCTTTTTGGCGTTTTTGAAGAGCTAAAAATTGGGCATTGAAATTTGAACAAATCGATCAGCAGTGCAAAAGTACTGGTTTTTTGAACAACGCTAAAAAAAAAAAACAGAATATACAGCTTTATCAGTCTCTATCTGTATTCAAAGATCATTAGTTCTTTTTTTCCTACTTCTTCTTTTTTTGCATCACTGTGGTTAGCAGTGTTTCGCTTAGAAACTTAGCATACAGTACGGACACAACTCTAACAACATCTGAATTTGTCTTCTTCACTAAAACAACTTTTTTGTACTTGCTGATATCATTGTTCACTAGGCCTCTGCTTCGTTAATTTTTATTCTTGCATAGCGCTAACTATGCATCTTATTACAGTTCAATTCTCTTGGCTTTTGTGTTCAATTTTTTGTTGGTATTTGTATCATAAATATTTTTAGAAATATTACCAACAAAAGTAATACTAGTTAAAATAATGATCAGCTTTGTCTAAACTAAACAAATATGGTTCTTTTTTGTGATAGGAAGTGACAATTTGTTGGACAAAAATGAGTTTGATAGAAATTTTGGAGTTTTATAATAACTGGAGGTTCCCAGTGGAGTGTTAAGTTTTCTTAAGATAATGCTTGCGGAAAACAAGCGGAGAATTCTTACAACTTAATTTGGTAAAATGCATGCCAAAAAAAAAAAAAAAAATCACAAGCTTAGAACTTTCTCTTTCTTATGAAAACTGAGTAGATGAAATCTGACAGAAGTTATTGTACTTTAGAGGAACAAAAATACTTTAATAAAAAGTATTCGGTTACAAATTTTTTTTTTATTCTTCGCTGTACGATTTACACAATCAAGTGGACCAAATACGAAGGAAAAATTAAATATTTTTATAATTTTAAAATTAAAAAAGAATTTAAATTTTAAAAGTTTTACTGAAACCTTGCTGTTACTGATGTTGAATTGATTTTTTTTGGTACAAATACTTCTTCTTAGGCGGATAATAGAAGAGAAGAAGAAGCATTTTAGTGGTTAAATTAAGTAAACCGAAAGATTTGTTAAAGTGTAAACCTGATACTTAAATTACAGTTTGATTGTCAAATAGGCATTAAACAATAATTGCTGATTAGGAGTCCTTATGCGTTGAAATATTATTAATGAAAATCAATCAAATTTATTTGGATTGTTTTTAGTCTATTTTACCTAAAACTATAGCTGACGCTTTGGTTGTATCAGTGTTAATGAGTTCATTTCTCGCTAAAATTTGTTTTACTAATCTTTTTTTTTTTTTCTAACGTTTCTGCAGTCTAAGTTTTTTTGCAAATGTGACTGTAAGAAATTAACCATGTTAGCATAAAATTTTAGGAAAAAATTAATTGTAATTGTGTTTTAAGAAAAGAGCAAGAGTGCAATAAATCTTCTCAGTGGCACATATGAAACTACAACTGCGTCAGTTAGAGGTACAATTCATTTGTGCCAAATAAAGGAAGTTAACCCGACTGTAATGCTCGAACTAATAGCAGTTAAACATCAACGAGGTTTCTTTAAATTACGTAGACTATTGAGAACGATCTTTCTGAATAATGTTGAAGTTGAAAGCATTCTCTAAAAAACGATGGCAGTTCAGATATAGTGACAGACACAGCTTTAAAGATTTAATCTATTTAAAAATAAACTGTGAGTCTAAAATTTTATTGTTGTCTAGAATTTCTTGCAAATCAACATTATGGAACATTTTGCAAATTTATTTTATTACTGATCTTAGCTTTCAACAGTAATTAATAAAGAAAATTTATAAATGAAAATGATCAGCTATAGATAATTGGAAGAAAAAGTCAATTTTTATGAGAAATAAAAACGATATTTTGAATACTGAAGTGACTTAAAAAAACAAGACTTCATTTGATGGCACAGTATCTTGTGCAGTTTTTAATCTTTTTGCTGTTAGATTTAATC